GCATTTTAGGACATTTATTTCACTTAACATTTTCTTTCTACTTACACTCCAAATTTAGCTAGTTGGGGGTAGTTGCTGAGATTCCCAGATAGGAGACTTCCAGATAGGTGAGTTGTGACTATGCTGTTTACTCCACATTAAGAAACAGGGCCCAATTTGCAAAACTTGGCCATACTTTGCAAAAGAGAATTGACAAAACTTTACCTCTGATTTTTGATAAAGGATAAATACATCAAAACTTTTTCAAAGATTCAGACTTTGGGAGCCTTCATTTTAAATCTTTGAAAATAGGATAACCGGTTCCCACTCAGACAACAGTTTGTTGATCACTGTTACCTCAGCTCAAAGCTGAGCATAAAGGGGGAACTGACCATGAGTAGTTTTTTTTTTTTTTTTTTAATGTCGATGTGCTCAAAGTTCTATTGCTGAGTCACCAAACACAGAGGAATGCTCCTTTAAGGTATTTTATAAAGCAAAAAATTCTATAACTGTAAATCTGTTCTAATGGATAGAAATTATATTCGGTGGTTGAGGATACTGTCCATATTGTAGTCAAGGACCTAAAATCCACATCTTTCTCCTTTTCTGCCCTTGAGAAAAGTAAAGGGCAAATTAATATGAAATCAACTTATTCTGTCTTAATAACTCTTGTCCTAGAAAAGTATTTCTTGGAGTGTTTTGCAAGGATCACTAGTTTCTAGAAGCTCTTCCAAATACTGTTGCAAACTGTGTCTAGGCTGGGTCGCTTAGAATGTACATCCCATGGTGACAGCTCAGTGGGTTCTGGGGACTGTTGGACCCATATTCCTCAGACTTCTGGACTTGAGCACTTCTTTTTCCTCTCCTTCATAAGACTTACTTTTGGATTGTTGTCTCAGGAGGCCTATGACCTTGTTAGCGCATTGCTTGGGAAGATGGGGGCCATGTGACACTTTTTCTCCTAGTCTCATCGACTAAATATAGATAAATAATTCATAAGTGTTTGTGTGTTTTAAGTTACTCCATCATTCCCACAGTCATTTGGAAAAGTGAAAGCTGGAAAAAATTTTTTCAAAATTATATTTAATATGTTAGATATTGAGTGAAGAGAATCCAGAAATCAGATAATAAAATTAATCTTTCTGCACAGGATCCACAGGAAAGAATAGGGTGAGCAGAAATGTAAAAAGGCTTTGAGGTAATAAAGCTCAGGTAGACCAAGTTTTAAATTAGACCGTGCCCTGCTTCCGAGGACACAGAAGAGATTTATAAAAATTCTCAACAATATCAATACTTTAATTTCTAGGAAATTATAGAATGAATACAAGAACTATTTAGGAAGCTTTTTTTTCAGGGTTTCTAAAGGTTAGGATTTATCTTTTCTTTTTAATTCTGACCTCTGCAATTGGCAAAGACTATCCTCAGCCGCTAAAGTTCTGTAGAAAGACATCAATCTAGACACTAGCTTTGTTTAGACTGTTTTATAGATAAATTGTCCAATTGTAGTTTTCAGAGGAAAACATGTTTTTCTTTAAATTGACTGTTGGTGTGATAGGCCCCAAAAGAAGTCCAGGTCTTAATCCCAGGAAAGCATGAGCCCCTTACCTTACACGGCAAAAGGAGTCTTGTACCTGGGATTATGTTAAGGAGTTTGAGATGAGGAGATTACTTGTGATTATTCGGGTGGCCCTGATGTAATTAAAAGCATCCTTTTACGAGGAAGGTGGGGGACCAGAGTCAGAGTCAGAGAAGAAGGTCGCAGTGATACGAAGCCACAAGCAGAGGATGCGGGCAGCCTCTCGAAGCTGCAAGAGACTCCAGAAGAACGCAGTACTATTTCATGAGCCAGGGAGATAGTAAGTGTGTGTCGTTTCTAGCCACTAAGTTTGTGGTAATTTGTTGCAGCAGTAAGTGGGCACCAATACACTGAAGAAGAGATTCGGTCGCTCACGGACTCAATATTGAGGGCCTGCTGGGTGCTGGGCAGTGTCCCTGGCGCCAGAGGGTCAGCTCATGGGGACCTCATGGTCGAGACAGAGACAGGGCATGACTTCAGAGAGTGCGGGTGTGGCTTGGGAACAGAAGTGTCCAACAGTAGAAAGTGAGAGGACCCATCGTGCAGGGGGGCTCCTTTTGCTGGGGCCATGGTCTTAGAAGGCCTCGCTGTCCAAGGAGGTGACATTTAGCTAAGAGCCAGCCAATAGAAAGGATGTGACTGTGCTGAGCTCGGGAAGGACACGGCAGCACCAGTGGGCCGGGGGCTCTCCTGCTTCCCACCCCCCCCTTCCCGAGGCGGAGCTTCTCAGGGCCACTTCGAATCAGAGCAGGAATGGTGCCTCACCCCTGACTCCCCACCCATGGGAATTCCCCATCCGTTCTTTCCACATGTTCTTTCTGTTGTTGCCGACATCCCCACGTGGTGGCGGGACATTGCCCATCCTCCGCTTCTTCCTTACAAACTCTGTCTCCACCTCCATGTGGGGTCTTCTGAGAGCAGGAGCCTTGGCTCCCGATCCTTGCTGATGCTGTGACAGAGCCAAGAACGACGTGTGTCATCGAGTCCTGCGGAGGCTGTGTGATCTGGGTGAGCCTCCAGCTTCCCGCAGCACCGGCTCTGCAGGTGGGGACCAGGCCTGCCACTGCCCGCCCCTTACATGTGGAGGACAGAGCCGGCTCCTTATGAATAAGCAGTGAGGTTGAACACGCTCAGCCGTTCTGCCTGTTCTCATCATATCCCCTAGAAGCGAAGAGTTGACATGGATTTTGGAGAATGCTTATTCCTGGCACCTGCTTTTATCAGCAAGAAAGCAGCCCCGAAAGGGGATGGGACGTTCCCCAAATGTGTCGAAAGCTGTCCCTGCCCTTCCCGATGTCAGCTGAGGTCAGACCGAGTGTAGCTGAGGATGGAGCCCGCAGCAGGAAGCTGGGCCTTGCTTTCCTTCTCTCTTGACGTCTTTTGAAAAGTAAAAATGGATCCATCATGCCTGATCTGTAAATTGCTTATATACACAACTGAGGGCGTGTTCTGCCTTCTGAAATGTTTTCTCTAGTGGCCTCAATTCTTAGTCAGGTCCTGACTTTCTGAGCCCCCAAATGTTGTGCCTTCCGGAATTAAAAGTGTCCGCTCCCACGCCTGCCCAATCGTGTGTGCTCAGGAAACTACAGGAAGGTGTCTGGAGGCTCCTGCAAACTCTGTGTCACATTGTAAATACATGTGTAGTGGGGTCTTTTGGTTTTTGCTTTTTTAATGAGTAGAATAAGGTAGTTATACTCAGTAATACCCATTCACCAAAAGGGAAGGGGTGGGGGTGTTAAATCATTGTGTTTTTTGATGAATGGCTTGTACGCTGAAAAATAAATTGGACAAACTGGCATAGAGCTCAGTGAACATGAAATCAGCTATTAGAAGAAAGCTTGTGAACAAATTCTGGGGCAGATATGCATCTTTTGATTAATGCCCTATCAATCATCCACACGGCTACCTTAGTGGAGTCTTGCTGTAATCATTCACGGTTGCTTTCGGAAACACGGGCAGAAACTATAGCATGGCAGAAACAGAATATTATTACAGATTTTTCCCTAACTTGCCATGAACAATGACTGTTTTCACCATGTTTCTGCTTGCCTTTATTACAGAACTACAATGCAGAATGAAAGGAGAGTTCCTCCAAGCTGGATGAAATTCTCTGAGGGTATTCTTTAATGATATTCAGTCTTAAATGGGCAAGCTATTGTAATGCAAGGTTCTCTGTAGGAATAATAGTAATGTAATCCCATTGAAGCCGCCTTTCATGGATTGTAGTCAAATAGGCAAAATGTGGAGTCACATTAATGAACAGAGTATATCTTCAGAATTATTACTTAAAGTTGTTGAAGTGGTTTGAATTTTGTTATTGTAATTATTATATTCTCAGTTAATGCGCTTACCAGCAATAGTAATTAACCCACCAGATTGGAAATTTGCATGAATTCTACCTTTGACATTACAAGAAACCCCGATTCTTTCTGGGTATTACACAGCAGGATGGAGGAAATATATATATATATTTTTTTCACTGATTATTTTTAAGAAGGAAATGTTCATGAATGCAGTTACAGTTTTTCATGCATTTTTAAGCCATTGGCAAATTCCTCAAGAACACTTCATTCTTTTAAGAGGATTTGATTCCTAAACTGTGCCGACACAAAGAACAATTTGACACCATCTACCCGTCAAGAAATCTTTAGGTAATTGTGCGGCTTCCTTGAAACTCGCTGTAGGCTGGACGGTGCTGTGGCATAATGAAGCGGTGCCAGGCATTAGCATGTATAATGGGCTTTCATAGACATTTAATGCTATTTAGCTGGGAGAGGGAGCCATGCTCTCCCATTGGAATATTCCTCCACCGAAGCCCATTGATCACCGATTTCAGCCAGGAGAGGTTAATCCATCAGCTTCTGTAACCAGACGGCACTGATGGAAATTCTTTAGGTGGCATTCTGGATGAACCAAGCTTTCCATCTTTACAAACAAATGAGTGATATGACAAGCATGGTGTTCAAAACACATTTAACCAATTGATTTTCCTTCCTCTTGTAATAAGATCTGGAGACATATGAAAGCACGCAGCGTGAGCCGAGATTAAAGGAATTGCTCCATGCACGGAAACATACGGCCCTGAGAGCCAATAAAAGTACTATAAAGCATGTAGTCACCCATTCTCTTTTTTATATAAAGTTTGTTATTGCAATAAATAGCTGTTATTGAGCCGACGCCTTTTGTTTCCGTCACGCTGAGCCTTATTTCAGGTCTGTGTGTCTGGCTGCAGGCACACGCGTGTCTTGCCTCAGTGGCCGCGTTACTCTTGGAAGTGTTCAAGATGCTTATCAGCAGCCGTTTTTACCTTCTGATTTCAACAGGGAGACCTGCTCTCATTTGGGGATGGTAGCACCAGGTATAATGATGCAAACTTGGTGTGCTCGCAGTAATCTCTGTGTCCTGTGTAAATGAGAGCCTTCTATTCTTTCTTCCTCACCTGCAGCCCTGCCTTGAGCTTCACCTACCCTTCTGCACCCGTGTCCCTCCATATGCATCAACAGATCTTGAGCCGACAACAGAGCTTAGGCTCGGCCTTTGGACACAGCCCTCCGCTCATCCACCCTGCTCCAACGTTTCCAACACAGAGGCCTATTCCTGGGATCCCTACGGTTCTGAACCCCGTCCAGGTCAGCTCGGGCCCTTCGGAGTCCTCCCAGGTGAGAGACACAGCTTGATGGTCCGTCCTGTAATCGTAGAGGAGAGCCATGCCCAGCCCAGGAGCTCCAAGCGGGCCCACAACCTTGGCATTCTTGTGGCTTCCATGCCGCTGTCTTCCTAACCCAGGGCCAGAGTCTTCAGGTTTGATGAGTGGGCATGTGTGTGTTCCTCATCCAGCAGTGGCTTCCTCCCCCAGAGTCGTTTCTTCCTCGGTGGGACAGCGGGCTGCTTGATGAGGGTCTGTAACCCTCCTCAGGGCAGTACGCTGCGTGAAGGGGTCACTCTCGTTTGGTGACTCTCCACTGGCACTCCGAATCCTGTGATAACTTCACGGGACAGACCACGCCGTGCCCTCTGCTCTTAACCTTCTCACTGATCCCGCTCAGAGAAGAGTCTGAATCCTCTAAATAAAGAACGTTGCAAATTGTTTCTTTTAGTTTCCTACCCACCTCACAACTCTGTTCTAAATACACTGTTGGAGCTCATGAAAGCCCAGGCCCCTGGCTCTATTCTTCTAGCTTTTAAAAGCCACCAGGAGTTTATTTATGTATGTATTTTATTTATTTATTTATTTATTTATTTTCTAAAGATTTTGTTTATTTATTTGACAGCGAGAGAGGGCACACAAGCAGGGGGAGTGGGAGAGGGAGAAGCAGGCTTCCCGCTGAGCAGGGAACCTGACTTGGGGCTTGATCCCAGGACCCTGGGATCATGACCTGAGCTGAAGGCAGATGCTTAACCAACTGAGCCACCCAGGCACCCCTAGAAGCCACAGGGAATTTCCACTCCTGAGTGGAACCAAGGAGCTGCCTCATGGTTGTGTTTTCTGGCCTCAGACACATTTTCTGAGGTCTGCTGTCATGGGATTGGGGCGTTACCAGAGTCCTTGTTCTAATGCCACATTGGCCTGCTCATCTACAGTTGTGTGTTTTAGCTCTGGTCCTGCTCCTTAGAAACCTAATCTTTGTCTCTGTCTCTGTCCCCGTCAATGTGACCACCAGAACAAGCCGACGAGTGAGTCCGCGGTAAGTAGCACGGGTGACCTGATGCATAACAAGCGGTCCAAGATCAAGCCCGACGAAGACCTGCCCAGCCCAGGGCCGCGGGGTCAGCAGGTGAGGCACTAGGGCTCTGCCACCGGCCTGTGGCTCCCTCCAAGCTGAGCTCTCTCACAGAATTTACGTACCCACTGTGTTCTTGGCCTTGGCCTTGGCCATCCCCGCAAATTTGGCAGGAAGCCAGTGATAGAGTCTGACTCCGTCTGATTCTCTAACTCAGAAATGCTGCAGGAAGCTGTTGGGGGGCGGGGGGAGATAAACTGTAGTTCGTGGTGTAAGCGGTTGGATTAATTTGTTCCTGATCACTGATAGGGACCAAGCTTCAGTCCTGAGCCCTGGTCTCGGGCCCCGAAGTATGAACTCCTGGCCCTGAGCCAGAGCTAGGCAGAGTTGATGATATTCCTTACACTGCTCATGTTCTTACTTGTTCCCATTTTGCCTTTTCCCACTTGCCAGGAGGGCTTGGAGAATGGAGGGATGGATCGAGGCACATCTTACCTAACTTAAGGCCAATTAGATTCTGGTCCTTTCTTTACCCAGGGTCTTGAAAGGACAAATTTTGAAGGTCCAATCTGGTCTCTTCTTTAAGGCATTTAGACCCTCTGAGTTTCCGTTTTAAAATGTGTTTATTATGCCTACAATACCGTCTCCTAGGGTCCCTGTGCTTGACACAGGAAGGAGGTCAGTGAATATTAATTCCTGGAATTAGGGGTTGGACAGGAGTCTGGATGTCCACAGAATCTGGACCTTTCTACATCCGGGCTGTTCCAGCCCTCAGCTCAGACTACCTCCACCCAAATTTCCTTTCGAGTGAGCACTCTGAGGATGGAATGAATGGGTGTCATAGGTTCTGAAATCCATCCTTCTCCTTGAATTTTCCTGGCCAACAGCCTTGCTGGTTACACCTAAATGCTCGTATGCAGTTTTTGTCATCCTGCCCCAGATGAGATCCCAAATCTGTGCACCTAGTCATCTCCCAGAATTCTGGAAATTGTTTGCATTTTCACTGCTGTGAAGCTGCCTCGGACAGTAGAAAAGACTCAGCTGCTAAGATTTAGATGCTGTGGTTCTTGGGCAGCAAGCCGTATCCTCGGAGCTCAGAGGTTGAACCAGGAAGACATGATCCCTCTAAAACCCAGAAAGTGCCTGTCACAGCCTCTAATGGCAGGGGAAGGCAGAATTAGAATTACTGGTAAACCATTGCCCTGATTCCAAAATGTGAGAATCAACAAATTAATACACGAAAAAGAATCTAACCGAAAGAGAAAGGCCAGTCTTTTGGCTAAAGACTGCATGACCTAATTTAATTGCTTCTCTTATGGGATGACATTTTAATTTCTTTTTCTCTCTCGTATTCAGGGGCAAAGTTTGGCCTCAATTTCTTATCATCATTACGGTTGGAACTGTTGTTTTTAATCCCCACCTTAACAATCTCTGAAGATATATTTGGTAAATCGGAAAACACGCACACAAATGATTCCATACATTTGACTTCTTCTGTCCATAAATCCCAGCTGCTAGACCTGGGCTCTATTTTATTTTCCCTGAAAAATTGCTTCAGGATGAAGACCCATATGATCAGTTTTTTTTTTTTTTTTTTTTTTTTTATCTGTCTTTCATTTGTGTCTGTTTTTTTTTTCCCTCTCTCCCCCCCCCCCACCAGGAACAGCCGGAAGGAACAACCCTGGTGAAAGAGGAAGGGGACAAAGACGAAAGCAAACAGGAGCCTGAAGTCATCTATGAGACCAACTGCCACTGGGAAGGCTGCACCCGGGAGTTTGACACTCAGGAACAGCTGGTGCACGTAAGTCGGGAGGACTCGGGAAGTGGGCTTTACAACTACGTGACCTTTGCTGTGGTGTCGGCTTCCCTGACCCCGCGCTGAGTCAGGTTTCTTAGCTAGCAGCGCTGCAAACTGGAGAGGGCTTTATGATTTTCTGAGAATAAAGAGAACTTGAGCCATGGTGCTTGACCTGTTCAGTCAGCTAAAGCTTAGTGTAAAATTCAATAAAGTCTTCAATAGAGAGCGTAATGACTCTGATCCTGTAAGCCAGAAAACACTATTTTGAGTTTGCGTCTTTGATGGTTATTGAGTAATAGTAAGCTGGACATGAATTATTATTAACCTTTTAACCAAGTTTGATTCTCCTCTCCTAGACCCAGCCACGGTAGGGAAAAAAAAAAAAAAATCGTAGAGGTGGGGAATTCCTTTTCTTCTGTTCTGCCTTCTTCTTCCAAACCCTCAAGGCCAAGGAACCTCCCAGGATTCTATGCAGCAATTAGTACTCTGCATGAGATAGGTAGATGCTTGGGGAAGCCATTAACACAGTTTCTTGGCTGAAGGCCAACCCTTGCAGGGTGGGTAGTTCATGGAAAAAGTGATGTGTATTTTTAAATGTGTCCAGTGGCGTGGATTTTTGAAACTTGCAGCATGGTGAGACCGAGATCCGCGCTTCGGCTTACTATACCAGGTCCAGAGGTGTTGTCCCCGTGGGTTTTATTTCTAAAAACACAGTGTGCTCCCCACACCCATGTGCATGTGCCTGATGAGGCGTTTTTCCTTTGCCGGTGCTTCATTTGATTTGGTGCTTTCCTTCACGCCAGAGTAGTCTCCTTAGCTGATGGGACCGGGAGCAACTGAGATGGAAGGGTCTGTCTCTCTCGATCATGGAGACCAGACAGCCATAGGCTCATACCCTCCTGTGCACAAGCACAGGGTCTCATCGAGGCATTACGGATGGTCTTGCTATGTGTGGCCAGTTCACCCGCTTGTCCTGTGACAGAAGATCTGACAGAGAAGCAGGGCCCCACCCACCCCACACGCACACACCGCACATACTTGCCCCGTTGTCTCTTCTTTTCTAGTAACTTTTAATTTTAGATGACCCATATTTCTTGATAACCCTTCTCCATTTAAACGCTAAAATTATACAGTTCTTGAAACATCCCACATTTTTCATCGTCCGCAGGAACTTCTCCAGGGTGTCGTCTGCGTTGGCTCCTCCTCTGTGATGTATTCCACACGTTGTCATCGCGGCAAAGTGTTAAATAGACCCTTTGCCAGGATTTGCGATCCGTTAGGTACAGAATGTTTTGAGGAGTTAACATGACATCAGCAGGGCTCCCCCCACCCACATTTCTTTCTTAATCATGTCTCCTTGTAATTGTGTAGGAGGAATTATAGATTTCTCAGCACAGCAAGAAACCTAGAAAGTCAAATGTTTTTAATTAAGGTATATTTCCAGATTTTTCCATGAACTTAATTCGATTCTTTCTCTTTAATTTGAGGCAAGTGTTATTTTTAAGCCAAGCCTTACTTAATGGCCCTTTCTTCTTGTTGACTTTTAATGGAAACCACAGACGTGGTCCTACCAAAGGGGGAAAAGAAAAAGTTTGGAATTTTTCTTCTAGTGTAGGGAGATATTCCCGAAGAGTGAAGTATGCCCGGGATACCCTTAGTGATAGAAGGAGTAAATAACCCACATGAGGGGAACGGTTTGCATGAAAACTGCCATCGTGAGCGAGATGTTACCAGAGATGCTTGCTTTGGGAAATGTCCTCCGGAGAGGTGACACTGTCTCATGGTGCCTTTTCTGAGGATAAGTCATTGTACTCTCCAAGGAGGGCTGTGATTATGGTTCAGATGTTACCAGATGCAGGATGGAGCAAGAGCTTATTTGGAGTCTACATTTCAAAGGAATCGTGTTCCTCATTAGAGACCAGGTTTGATGTAGCATTTTTAACCTTTCTGCTACCTACTGAATGCGAAAGATTTTAAGAGACAGTGACTCTTGTAGGTGTATTTAATCTCAGTGGCAAAAGGCTTTAGGGAGTGATGATGTTTTAGCAGAGACCTGAGTAGTTTTGCGGTAAATCTGCTTAAACGATCAACTTGAATGACCACCGTGTTGTGTGTCTTATCGTAAAAAATCTGACTGAATCCACATGCAGGGGAAATTTTTGATTCCAAACCAGCTAGAAGGAATTCATGTCAGGAGTAGGAGAAAATCCAATGTAGTACCTTTATGATGTTAATTTTAGTCTGAGATAAATTACGTACATTAAGTGGCTTACAGTTATAACTTGGCCACAACCTAAATAAAAACACTAGGGCATGTCACTTATTTTCCACCTTTTTACTCTTTACCTGAAGTGCGGAGATTCCCATTGTGTGCGTTTAAGTCGATTTTACTTTGCATGACATGCAAGTACCTTCCTTCCGGTGGGTGTTATCTGGTTGCATCAGCAGTGACCTGGCATAGCACGAGCACTTTAGTCTCTGCTGATTGAAGGAATAGCTCCATATCCACCTAATTATTTTGGTGGCAGGTGGAAAAAATACCAGTGGCAAACCCCAGTTGTTTTTTTTTTTTTTTTTAAGGATGGAGGGAAGTCTTAACTGTTTCCATTCCTCTGGCTCTCCTTGGAAAGACGGCATTTTGTGAATTAGCTGAATTTTCATGCTCCATGCGACCAAGAGGCAAGGTGTTAAACCATTCTGATGCTCTGCCTTATTTACAGCCATGACCCATTCTTTTTCCCCCTCTTACAGTTAATAGAAAGATTCATGATTCTTCATGGTTGTCTATCTAGGGCCTGACAGGCCCGACTGCCTGCTAAAGCAAGTCACTATCTATAATTGATATCCTTCCGCGGAATAGGGTGCTGGCTGCAATTGAAGGGCTTTGCTGAAAGCTCTTAAATCCTGACAAGTTCTCCCCTTGTTCTGGTTCAGTCGCTGAGCAGCACGGTTGGAATTCCAGAGCCATTTGAACTTGGTGCAAAAAGGGAGACATGTGTTTCACATTAGCAAATCACAAAGTTGAAGAGGAGAATTAGGGACGCGGCGGGCTCTGCCCGCCAGGTAGTCTCATTCCCAGCGTAATGCGCTCTGTGTGCTCTTAAACATTACCTCGTCCCATTACTGGCCCAACAGATGCGCTAACCATTGCCTTTCCCTTCTCTTCTCCTTTATTGCAAGTGCCTGTCCTCCGCCTAGACGTGTGTTTACTCTAGGTTTGCTGTGGGGTCTTTATCACGGGGACGTTTAATTAATTTCTCTTCCCAGCAAGATAATTATAATTGGGCTTAGTTACTCTCAAGCTAGTATTAAATTTGTCATAAATTTACTTCTATGCCCAGAAGCTAGGAAGAGAGATATATATTTTTGTTAACCAGGTTTTTGTTTCGCTTTGTCCCTTTCTTGGTGTCAGTTAAAATAGAATGGAACAAGACAGTAAGAGGGAGATCCGGTATAAAAATGAATTCAAAGTACGTTTGATTAAGACTGAATTGATTATTGATTTGTTGAGATGCAAACGCTTTCTCTTTCCTTGGCATCTGAACGCACGTATTCTAACACCTCAAAGTAAGTTGGAAAGTCCACATTTTCCCTTCAATTTCAAATTAGACTCTCTTTTTGCTGTTGTGCATGGCCTATTACAAAAGACATGAATCTTACATTTAAATTTATTTCTGAAAGTGGCAGAATATTGGTTCTCAACGTGTTTCTGGTTTTGTTTTGGTTTTTTTGGGGGGGGGCATGCAAAAAACTCAACTTCCATCTTCTGGCCTGGCCTCGCGCGTGGACGAGGGAGGCTTCCAGACCTTCCTGAGACCTATTTCTCACTTGCATTCCTTTTGTCTTAGAACTCAGTCCCATCTTCGGCTCTAGGAGGGTCGGGGCGTCTGAAACAAGGCACAGCATGAGCCCAAGTTAGTCATTTCTAGGTTCTCCGAAACCCGCCCGCGTTGTTTCTGAATGACGTGATACGGCCCATCAAAGTTTTTGATTTGAGAGGCTTTTTCAAAAGAGGAGAAGGAATAAATGAAGAATGTGCACCTCAATATGGGTCACCACAGCCCGGTGGCTGGTGATGCTTGCAAACGTCACTTCCGGGACCCGGAGAATGAAAGTAGTATTCCCACCATCCCTAACGTCCACCTGTTTGCTGTATCGCTGTATTCCTTGACCCTCTGTTTCAGTGAGGGAATCCCCTTTCTGCTTTAGAAGTAACGCATATAATATTCTTTCCTAAGGTCTGAAAAATCGTCAAATTATTTTTTTTAACAGTTTTATTCCCCACGCCCCCCCCCCCCGGCCCCGCCAAATGAGTCTGCGGAGAGGGCCTTAGCAGGTGAGGGCACCGTCTCCTGCCAGTGAGCCCGAAGGGCAGAGAACGTGAGTTGCATTTATATGAGTCCCAATCTTCAACTGGGTGGCATTTAAGTCCCTGTGTTCCTTTGTATCTTTTAAGCTGGGTGTCAGAAATTCACCTTTTTGTAGAGTGATTAACCACCTACTTGGATTTTAAATGCTTTCATATGCTGCGAATTTTGATCTCTAAAGCCTGCTGTCAGTTCTTTTATCAGAAGAATACAGTTATAATCACCTTTGCTGCCGTTTGAAAACAAATTCTGTACATAGGCAGCATGAAAACGGAGGGCTTTCTTTTTAACATCCTAGAGATTTAGATGTAAAGAAGGCACATCTAATCTGTGAAGAATTGGTGGATCCGTAGAAACGGGGTGAAGTTAGGATGTGTTGAAGACATTATTTTCATATTAATACCATGATCCTAAATTTGCATTTTAAATGTTTTCCTTCTAATTTTGATCCCTTTGCTAAAGTTGCATTGTATATCCTTACCTAAGAGAAAATGGAGTGTAAGATGCGATAGGGGTCTCAGATACGAGGCAGAAATTAGTTTTGTGTGCACATAAAACGTATAACGAATGAGTGGAGATTTTGATCTTCTTTTCCCTGCATGGAGTTGCTAGTTAATTTAGTTACTCTAATTATTT